CCTGCCCTGCTGAGATTTTGACAACCTGACCCTGCCCTGCCCTGTGATTTTATTCCATAACCTTTAACCTGCCCTGCCCTGCCCTGTTCTTTTTAACATTGATGAAAATTCCAAATTTCTGTATCAATTTATTATACAATTTCACTCGATTTGTTACAATCATAAAGCAAAAAATAACAAAACTATACATCTCGAAAATTTCTAATCATCAAAATATCATCAACAATATCTGGCTTCAAATACTGTCTTCTTTTTTCTAATATTCGACCTGATGAACTAAAAACACGTTCCGATGTAGCTGAACTGGCAGGAACGCCTAATAAAGGATAGTTCAAAAATGTCATCCGAGTCTTATGTAACCATAAACGTGTTATTCACTGCAAAATATATTCTTTCACTATGCTGCTTTTCATTTTCATAATTCGCTCCTCCCTACAATTCACGAACGTCAATCGTGAATGCCTTTCAACGACTTAGCTAATAAAGCAAGTTGTGGAAATATTAAAGAATGCTTATTCCACCATCCTAACAACGTGTCATCACTTGAAAATGAAAGCTTGGTGTTAATATAGCGATCAATTTCATCAGAATCATCATCAAAATCCTCTTCCTCAACTCCTGCAAATTCTTGCATAACATCTTTTTGAATAACTAAATTGGTTTTCTTTTTTTTCGACGTCTTATTAGCAATATTAGTCTGTTTTGTAGATGATACAGTTGAATGTTCTTGTTGAATACCAATGGTTTGAATCATTTTTCGAGTGTCAGAATAAATTTCGTCTCGAAAGCTGCTACTTAATGTCTAAAGAAAATTTGACAAATAGAAGAGTGATTTAGTGCTAAAAGTAAACTTACTAAAAATTTTTTTGTTGCTGGATACAAAAAAGTAGCAATATAGTGTAAAGACGTCAAATAAATCTTTTCATCCAGCATCTTCGAAACAGCATTTTTGAATTGAACGAGTAATAAATGATCACCTTCTTCAATTTCACATGAATTTTTCAATTTCGTAAACCAAGGTACAACTAAATGAAGAGTTGGTGATGTATCAGCAGATAACTGTTCACTTGCTACTTTGAATAAGAACAAGAATTTTACTAAATCCAATAATAATTTTCGATTAATTTCATTCAAGTAATAAGATTCGTTTCGATCGAGTAGAACATCTTCACATTTTTGAAAATTAAACGATATTGATTCAAGCATAT